CCTCCTCCTCATCGCCGGCGCGTCCCGAGGGCAAAGCTCGTGTGGAGTAGGCGACGACGGCCCCTTCTGCGGTGGGAGGCGTCTTTCACGAAAAGGGGATCTCCTGGCGGCGCGGCGTCGGGCGGAGGGCGGCTCTGATCGGACCGGAGCAGCGTCGTACCTCTCGCATCTCAGGCGTCAGCGACCTGCGGCTTCTCGGCCTGGGGTCGCTGGTGCTGGCTCACACGGCGCTGGCTACTGCCCGTCCCTAGGGGATCGGATCTGTGCGGATCTGGCCTCCTATGCGGTGGTCGTGCCTCGCGGGCAGGGTGGCAGCGCCTTCCCCTCCTCCTTGCTCCGGTGTTGGTCGGGGCGGTGCCGGGGCTGACCACCGTGGATCTGGTGGCTTGCCCGTGTATCTGGCGGTGGTGGTGCTCGGGCTGTGGGCAGCGCGGGCCGGTGTCCTCAGGGCCGGTCCTGAGATTTATGGGGCCCGGGGCGAGACTAGAATCAAGGGGCCCTCAATATAAACATCACAGTAATATTCAATATATATATATGTGAATATTATTAATTAACAGTATAGTAAAATGCATGCAAAAATCAAATAATTTGCATTTTGCCTTAAAGTTTACCTCTCACATTGGTCGATGCAATTATATTTACTATGGTACCAATGTAAATCTCATTCAATAATTTTTTTAAGTTACCAAACTATTTAAGCTCCCTTGGAAATTTACAAACCTCACACCGTTTCTACTCACTATATAGCTATTTAAAAGATGTTCATGCTTCTTAGCATATCTCGGCCATCATTCAAGTGCCTCCTTATACATGTCCTTGATAAAAGAAATTGTTCTTGAAGCATTCAAACCATCTTCTAAGCTCTAGGGATAACATGGATAATGAGTTAAATGCCATAAACTATATGAGAAAACTGATGAGCGGAAGATTCAGTATATTACTAGAAATCATCTCCAGATCCAAAAGGCATTATTTTCTATCAACTTTGATCCTGGAGATTATGTTGAATTTTTTTCTAAAAGGAAGGAACTATTTGAATGTTTTTGAGAAAAGGGATTTTGCAGAATCACCACAAAACCATAAATTGATCGACAAGTCTCCTACAGAATTTGACGTAACTTAGTGGTCAATCCTGCTTCAGTAGACATCAGCCCATACTCATAATTTCTCTAAATTGAACAGTAACACCACAAACCCTAATTTTTGGATGCCAAACTTAAATCCTGCTCATGGTGACTATTTCTTTCGATCGAGCGCAAGGAAGGGGACAAATCTGAAAATCCATACAGTCCCACAAGATTCGATCAAAAAAGAGCGAAGCTATACTTACAAGGGCCTGAAGACCAGCGTACATATGTGCTCCTCATCCCCCTTCCTTGCATCGACTGCGATGGCCTAGCCGCGATTGGGTCCTGAAGTTTGGCATTGGCGGCGCGCGATGGGCATCCACGACGGAACAAAAGGAGACGAGGGCATTGTGCGCTAGGGCCTCGGCAGGATTGGTCATGCCGCCCATGCATTGGGCCAGGCCCAGTATCTCAGCGAGAGGAGGGATGGATGGATAGCAACGATGAAAACAGGAAAACTATGACGTGATCTGACCTGCTGCTGCGTAAGGCATACCAGGTCAAAGGGGGCCCCTGGATTTGGGGGGCCCGGGGCGGCCGCCCCCCTGCCCCCCCTCAGGGCCGGCCCTGGGTGTCCTCCGCCATGGCGTCGATGGCGTCGGCATGGATGGAGGCAGTGGTGTGGTGGCGGTCTTGTGCTCTTATTGCATCACTGCAACGATCCACAAGATCGGTTCTCGATCTGGGTGTCTACGTGTTATGGAACTACTGTCGGAGATTTTGCCCAAAAATATCTGGATCGAATAGAATTCGGTCGCGTGCGCCCATGTCAGCCTACGCGGTTTCATGAAGGCGCAGCGTGAAGCTTGATCTGCTAGTTGTTGACACTATGTAACATGTCGGTATCTTGATTTTCATGGCACAAACAGCGGGGGAGAAAGTCATGATGGTTGAGGTGGGAGGATCGATAAGGCGGAGAGGGCTTTGGAGATGATGGAGTCACCCAGGTGTTTCATAAATTTCAGAAGCAGCAATGACAAATGGGGTCGGCAGTATTGAAGGATTTCATTTTTTATGGTGCTCCTTGGGTGCCGAGCGACTTTCAGGATGAAAATCTAAGGTCCGGCCTTCATTGATAGTGTCTAGCAATTGCCTTACTGAAGATATTGTTTTGAGAGCGCGGTCTTTCTCCAGGGTGAAAACCTATGATTTTGGATTGGGCGATGACATTAATTGTGCACTGTTTTCTTTTTGAAAATGTCGCTTCTGGAGACTTTTGATGATTTTCTAGTGTTGCGTTTGGTGGTGGTTTATGTATTGCAGCTGACAGAAGTTGATCATTGTGGCAAGGTCTTTGTTCTTTTTTACTTTTCTTTTTTGTCTTATTTTTAGGTTGCGTGCATCCTAAATGTTTTTGTGACATTTTGTTAGTGTAGAGATTGGGTGTATTAACATCTTCGCAGTATTAATATATTTTCTTTAAAAGAAAATATATAGCACGTACACGAACAAGCTAAGCGTGTGGAAAGCAAGAGCTAATTCTTGTCAGAGCAAGGATCGGTAAATCCATTTCTTTTAAAGGAGGAGAGTCCTCGGCCTCTGCATTAGCATGATGCATGCAGTCATTTTATTTAACGAAAATACAAACACAAAGTTTGAGAACGACACCGAAAGGAGCCTAAATAAAGCAAAAAGGAAAAGTATAAGATGTCATATCCAGCAAAAAAAAAGGCTACAGTGACTAAACACCTAGCCTATTATTAGCTCGCCACTCAAATCGGTTAAAGATAGCCCGTGCTACTATCTCTCACCGGTTAAACCCAGTTACCAGAAGCTCCTTGGATTCTGCAGGGTGAGTACCGACTATGTATGGATCCAAGCAGTGACTGTGTAGATCACTTGCAAAAGTTGGTAAAATAATCGCATAAAGATCATATCATTTCTGTAGCTCCATACAACAAAAAATAGTGCACATATCCATATCTGAATATGTCTCACAATATTTGATTCCACACCACTTAGCCAAGTTCCAAATAATGTGTTGATGCTAGTGGAAGGAGTAATATTGAAGGCTATATAAATCGTCCGACAAAGTAGTTTGGCTAGCGGACAATCGAGAAATATGTGTTGTATACCTCATGGTCGCAAAAACAACATCGAGAACTACCCACACATCTTCGTTTTAACAAGTTGTCCTTGGTTAAGATCACTTCTTTATTGACAAACCATGTGAAAATTTTAATCCTCAGCCGAACTTTAATCTTCCAGATATGAAGTGATCTCGAGATTGGCCCCAAATCAATTAGATCCAAATACATAGATTTTATTGAGAAACTACTGTTCCTAGATAATTTTCAATGAATGGCATCAGGTTGGTTCGAGAGTTGAATGTTCATCAACCTACACACCAAGTGTAGCTAAGAGTTCCAACGTTCCCCTACCAAAGACTTACTGAATTGGATATTGAGGGGGACCGTTTGTAATACTATAGCAACATAAGCTTCCTTACGTTGTACAATATTATATAACATGAGACATTGCAAGGCTGGAGGCGTCTCTCCTAGCCATGCATCTTCCCAGAATCTAGTCGTGGTGCCGTCACCAATAATCAATTTCACCCTTTGAAAAAGGTTTTTATATCCTCATTAACCCCTTCCAGAATGGAAAATCATTAGGTCTAGCAGTAACATGGGCCAATGTCTTAGATTGTAGGTACTTATTACGCAAAAATTGTACCCATGTTCCCTCCATGTCAACACACAGCCGAAATAGCCATTTAATTTTCTAAGTAGGCATCTATTTTTAACTTCTAAATTTTTGATCCCTAACCGGCCCTGGTCTTTGATCTGCAAATTATGTTCCATCTGGCCAATCTATATACCGTCTTAACTTCATCACTTTGCCAGAAAAAGCGAGAAGAATAAAAGTCAAGTCTTTTCTGTACCCCTATAGGTATTTCAAAGAAACAGAAAAGGAACATCGGTAAACTAGTCAAAATTGAGTTTATTAACACAAGTCGGCCCCATAAGACACAACTTTGCCTTTCAAGCAACTTAGCCTTTTATTCAAATCGATCATCAATGCATTTTCACTCTTTATTGGATAATTTGTGATGATGAATTGGTATCCCTAGGTAACTGGACGGTAGGGAACCCATTTCACATCTGAATAATTGTCCTTAAGCGTCTTGTTCCTCTTTGGCTATCCCAAAACAGAACAATTCGCTTTTTTTAAAGTTAATTTTTAGTCTTGACAATTGTTCAAATAAAAAGAGCACTAACGTCATATTTCTAGCTTTTGCGAGAACATGTTCCACGAAAATAATTGTGGCATCCGCATATTGTAGTATGGACACTCCTCCATCCACAAAGATGTGGAACTAGTCCTCCTACTTGGACATTTTCTTTAGCATGACTGCTAAGAACTGCCAACATATTCGCAACTATGTTGAATAGAACAGGAGACATAGGGTCACCCTCTCTTAAGCCCTTATGCGTCTGAAAATAATGATTTATGTCATCATTCACCTTAACTCCCACACTGCTTTTTTTTCAAGAAGGAGTCCACCTGTTTCCTCCGGGCCTCATCGAACCACTTCATGCGTAAGGCGTGCTGGAGGAAACCATGGCGCGGTACAATTTACTCCCTCCGTTTTTTATTTACTCCACGTATTAGTTTTGGTCAATGTCAAGCTTTGTAAACTTTAACAATGTTATATAGACAAAAATATAAACATATACAATAACAAATCAATACCACTAGATTTAATATTGAATGTACTTTCACGTCATATAGATTGTTTATGATAACTAGGTATATTGTTTTTTATAAATTTGATCAAATTTTACGAAGTTTGACTTCAGTCAAATTTATAATGCAGAGTAAATAAAAACGGAAGGAGTACCACCACCACACACGCCTCCCCAGCGGTCACAGTCCCCTCAGGACATGTGTCATGGCTGCCCGGGGTCGGCACATCGCCTGCAGCGGCACCGCCTTGGGGAGCGTCAGCCCACCTCCTTCACCCATGTCAACCTCATCATCACCAACCCTGTCCCAATGGAAGCACTGCACCAGCGTGCCCAGAACCAGCCCCAGCATCCGCAGCGCTAGGGCCTCGCCGGGGCACTTGCGCCGCCCCATCCCGAACGGCATCATGAACAGACCCTCGGTCTTCCCGTCCTCGAACCGCTCTGGCCTGAACTCCAACGGGTGCTCCCACGCCGACGGGTCCCTGTGGATGGCGTAAGCGTTCACGAGCAGCGTCGTGCCGCTCGGGACGTGGTAGCCCGCCACCGTGCAGTCCGCCGAGGACTCGTGCGGGATCATCGCCGGGACGGGCGGGTACAGCCGGAGGGTCTCGCTGATGATGCAGTGGAGGTAGCCGAGGCGGGGGAGGTCGTCGGCGCGGAGCAGGCGGGTGGTTCCGACGGTCGCGTCCATCTCGGCCTGCGCTTTCGCCAGGGCGTTCGGGTGGTTGAGCAGCAGCGACATCGCCCACTCCGCCGTCGTCGCCGTGGTCTCTGTCCCCGCGCTGAACATGGTCTGCCAAGGAAAGGAAGACACGAAGAGTGACCAGTCAAATCACTCAAGTTGATAGCAGTGAGACTGTAAGAGTGAACGACGATAGGAAGTGGGATGGAAGCGCTTACCATGCACAGAGCCATGATCACCATGTCCGTGTAGATCTCCGGCTCTGTCTTTTGCAAATCGAGCAGCACGGCAATCATGCTCTTCTTCTCCCCGTCGCCCTCGCCGCCGCCGTCGCCCAGCGTCCGCCGCTGTGCGTCGATGAGCCGCCGCAGGAACGCGTCCCTCCTGCTCACCGCAGCCAGGATCTTGTTCCTCACGCCGAACACGTCGAACCACCGTAGCACCGGCAGGAAGTCCCACATGTTGGCCCCGCCTAGCAGCGGAACGATCTCGTCCAGCGACTCCTTGAACTCCTGTGCCTCCGGCGACATGTCCGTGTCCTCGGCCCCCTCGGCGCGGGACGTCTTCGTCTGCGCGACGGTCTCCATCAAGGCGCTAAGGGACACCTCAAACAGGCTCCGCTTGAGCTCCACCAGCGCGGCGCCGCCGGGGTCGGCCGCGGCGGCACGTGCCAGGCGGCGCGCCATCGCGCGCACCTCGCTGGCGATGTCCGCGGTCATGCAGCCCACCCGGTGCGCGGAGAGCAGCTGCACCGTGGCAACGCGGCGGAGGTTGCGCCAGTAGGGGCCATAGCGGGACGTCGGGAGCGTGGTGCAGCCGAAGCACACCAGCTGCAGCGAGGGGAACCGCGGGCGGTCGGCGAAGGTCACGTCGTGGTCCGTGAAGCACTCCCTGGCGCCCGCAGCCGAAGAAACGACCACGGCGGGGCGCGAGCCGAGGCGCAGGGAGAAGACCGGGCCGTGGCGCGCGGCGAGGCGGGAGAGCGCGGCGTGGAACGGCCTCTTGAGAAGGTGGAGGTGGCCGAGGAAGGGGATGGCGGCGGGGCTCGGCGGCAGCTGTGCGCTCTTGTTCTTGCCGCCGCCGCCGAGGAGTGGGTGGCGTAGACGGAGTAGTGTGGTGATGAAGACGAAAAGGGCGGCCGTGCCGGCGAGGGCGGTGACAGTGTCCATCCCGTTGGAACTTGGAAGGGGCAGAGCTGGTTTGCCGGTCGATTCAGTGGCTTGTTTGCGCGGTATTTTATAAGGTCCTCGATATAATTGAAACGAGGCAAAAGATTTGAGGTCCTCGATATAATTTGGCTCGTAAGTTTTGGATACGAAGCCAATGGCCGAACTGGGAGTGCCATATGCAAGATCCAAGGTTTTTCAGACTTCAGACAATGTAAGCACCAATTGGCCTGACCATGGCAAGGCATTCCCATCCTAAACCGTACGCCAATACGTCATGGACATGTCAATTAACGTAGCCCGGGACAAACGAGGAAAAACTTTGAGACTGGAACTATGTGCTTGGGATCATCGCAGCATCTCCAGCAAACCATTGATCTTTTTTTTAATCATCAGGGGAGTTTTGCAGCCCCCCGGTTCCATTAATGATAATGAAACCATAACAGTTCAACAACCGAGCTTGCCTCAAAAACGCAAGTTCTGAAAGAGCAAGAAACAAACGGAAAAAAAAAAGGTGTAAGGCCTACGGCCTATTACATTCAGTTAACCAGTTCCCTCCTATCTGGAACACTGAGCAGCCCCGATCACAGAGAGAATCAAGAGATAAGAGAAGGATGTTTCACCGAGGCTCCACAGAGATCAGCGACTCTCGGCCGTCGGATCGGTTTGCTTGATGCGTTTCTGGGCGTCAGATCAAGATCTGGATGAACCTGTGCCGTTGGATCTGAGATGAACACTGCTGGAATGATAGTAATGGCAGCAAAATGTAAATACCGTGCCCCCACCGGGGCATTTCGGTCATTTCGCGTATTGGGGGTATAAAAGGGGGCCACGCCCGTGTTGAAACCCTAGCCGGCTCCTCCTCCCTCTCGCAGCCGCCTCGCTCCCTCCCACGCGCCCGCCTCCCTTCCTCTTCCTCCCCCCACCTCTCCCTCCACCAGGCCTCGCCGCCCCGCCCACTTCGCCGCCGCCGACACCCCTCAGATGTCGCCGTCGTGGCTCAACCATCTCCCCGCCCGCTCCTCCCCTTCTCCACTGCAGCCGCTGCCGCGCCCGTCCCCTTCTCTACTGCAGCCGACACGACGCTCGTACGGGGAGGATAGGCGGACGGAAGCGTTCTCCCTCCGTGTGGCCGTCGCCGTGCCCACCCGCCTTGTCACCGCCGATGACGACGGCCGGCTCCCGCTCCTCTTCCCGGGCCGCCGGGGCTGAGGAAGGCGGCGAGGGGCCCGCCGTGGACCGGTTCGACCCCAGCGCGCCACCGTCGTTTGGGCTGGCGGATACCTGCGCCACTATCCCCAAGCACTGCCAGATGCGATTATCTGTAGGTTCATTTCTTCTCTCTTTCTTTCCTCTTCTTTGACCCCCTCTTGCTGCCAGATCCTGACTGTGTTCCCTTCTCCTCAAGGTCAGTCAGCCGTGTCGGCCTCATGTACCCACCATGAGATGAAAGATGGATTTAGAGAAGGGAGGGAGCAGGAGGAGAAGAGGAAGAAGACACCGTACCACCTCCATGCACCTCCAATTTCTCTATCCTTTTCTTGCAGGTACCCACACTTCTCTCTTCCTCCTGATTAGCCCGATCTCTTATCTCATGTACTCGTCTTCTCATCTTTGTTTGTGCATAGTCTTTTCTGTACATGTGTACAAGTTGTATTTCTACAAGTTGTTCGATGAAAATCAAAGCAAGCTTTTGAGTGATGTTCTGTTCTTTGCAGAATAGGGATGGACAAGTGGTCAATATACTGAACGGATACATTCACTGGAAATGAGGGGCTGTTGATGTTGTGGGCTTGATTGGCTTTGCAGGTATTATGCAAGAATTGTTTTCTTTATTATGAGAAAGCTCAATATTTTTTTGCTGTGAATTACATATGTAAGTGTTATGTGTGATCGTTAGATTGTAGCAGAGATACTATATACAGGGTGTTAATTTATCATGGCTGGTGTACCCATTAAGCACGACATCTGCCCTACCATGTTTGATGTGGTTGTGAAATTTATCATGTACATTGCTTTGAGCTCTTTAAACTCTGATAAAGAATGTTCATTGAATTGTTGCTTGCTTATGTTCTTAATCTTTGATCGCATGGCTTTATTACCGGGTTGGAAATGATCGCACCCGAGTGGGTGCGGCAAGCCGCACTTACTACCATTCGTATGGCTTGATTTTCTCTTTGTTTTCCAGTGCTGCCTTGCATTGCTTTGCCTCCTTAGAGTTCACTTCCTCGCAATATTTTAGTTCCACAAGAGAAAATTGTTGCCTAATTATCTTGGTTAGGTAGCTAATCATTTTTTTGTTCTGCTGTGTGATGTATTCAGGTTGTTGGAGAAGTTCTCTCTTGTCGTTTCTGTTCATCACATTTAATCTTGAAGCTTGCTAAACTAGGTGGACTTTATTTATGTCCAGCGCAAGACTGCTGCCAAGATCAATGCACATTTTGATCTAGAATAAAGAGTATCCAATGGGCTCATTGACACGGATAATGTCGACAACAAGGTAGTAAGCCGGTGCATTACTAGGTGGGCTCATTGGCGTGGATGTGTGGCGTAGGAGACGGTTCCTCACCGGTTGGATGGAGTTCAGGCGCAACCCCGGCACCCACTCAGAGCTCTGTAGTGCTTGTCTGGTTGATGCTCTGTAGTTGTGGATCCATGCTTGAGCTCTCTCAGAGCTCAGGCACTCACGACCGTCGGATCTTTTTCCTGATGCGACCTGGGCTGTTGGATCTCGCCCTCGGTTCACCTCGTCTGAATGATGCATGGCTTTGTGATTAACCAGTTTGTGGTTGTTGAACTGTTCTGTGCTGGATGGACTTTCCATTTTGGTGAGCCCGCTAGAGTTGCTCTTAGCTTGCGCGGGGCTATGATGATCGATTATGGAAGATATAAGCATGCTCTCGAGCAATTGAGGCACTTGTGGGTATTACGTTGGACCCCCTCGTTTCTTTGAGACGTTTTGATCATGTGCTTATTTTAGTGGCTCTGTCCTTGGATGGTCATTTCTGATGAGTGATAACCAGGGCAGTTTCACCCTTGTAAGAACATATTGATCTGGTGATGGAGACACTAGGGGAAGGGTCATGATCGGGCAAAGGCGAATCTGAGCCCATTCAAATGCAGTTCTGGTCTCAAGCACATTCTGCTATGTTGTCGTTCTGTATTTGTATTTAGCGCCTCTTTGGTTTGTACATTTCCACAATAATATCTTCAAATCTCTTTTGCTATTTGAAACTGCAGTTTTTTTTAAGGGTCACACATACACATGATTGCGACTAACCAATTTTGCGTGTCCTTTTCATGCCCAGAGTATTGCAGGTTGCACTTCTCTCTTGAACCAGCATTACGTTCGAAACCGAATTGAGTTAACAGTAGATCCAAAATGTTTTTTTGTCATTTGGTTTGTCAAAATGGTGCATGACACATGTCATGGCCAGCAACAACATGTATTACTTATGTTGTGATGAGGTGGTGCATGACTATTCTCAAATTCTAATATACTGGTTAGCTTTGTTTAAGTGGACGTCCAAATCAATGGAGCCCATACTGAAACTTGTCGTTTCTCGAAAAAAGGCATGTTCTCATATTTTCAATGTAGATGCACTTGGTATGAGAAGAAAGGCATGTGCTCGTATATTTTCCCAATGCTCAAGTATATGCATGTGGTTACAGTTACTGTATTGATTTCAAAACATCAGCATGGCAGGCTCTCTGTCATGAGAAATACAAAATAATAAAAAATAGTTGGTTACTTCTCTCCGATTTCACATGGACAGTTGGATTATGGGCTACATGTGTAGTTTCAGTTCTAACTTTATTTTGATTGAGTCCATGGTTAGTTGTTCACACACTGTTGGATGCTTAGTTCAGTTAAAACAATAATGTTGTATGAGTATAAGTAACAATACTAATGTGCTTTCACTCATGCTAGGGCCCAGTAACAACTCTCTGAGACGGTTGTGCTCAAATTTATAGTTCCTGGTTAATGTTTTTTTATCTTTTTACTTTCTGCTGGTTTGTTTCTTTCAGTTTGTAAGTGGCCTTGGAATCCTGTTCACTGTTGGAAACAGCTGTACCCTGCTGTTGTTGTTTGGTTCAAAAGGTAAACTACGCTCTACTTTTTTTCGTTACTTGTTATGTGTTGATATCTATTCTTCTTCATCTAATATCCATTTTTTGTCCTTTGTTTGGTGTGTGTTGCTGGTTTTGGGGTTGTTCCTTAATAATTACAACCAAGGCATATTAGAAGTTCTTTTAAAATATCCTATACTTTGAAGTAGTTGTGCTCATCACATAGCTTGGTTTAATTCGTTGTGATACCACTACTATTTTTCCGCAAGTTACCAGTTGCAGCTATTTGTTCTTACATGCTATAAATAATAATGCTACAGCATTTTGTCTGCTATGTTTTTAAATAGAATTATGATATGGTGCAATGATGATTGACCATTACTGATATAGGTACGCTCTTGAGCAATCAAGCAAGCTGCTTAGCTTTTGATATATTCATTTTTGCCAAACTTGATGTGTCGAGCTTTGAGCTACAAACTTGA